CCGGGGGTGAAGCCGGGCCTGCAGGTCTGCCAGGCAGGGCTCCTGCCCACTCGCGGGAATGGGGGAGGGGAGCACGCAGGGGCCTCCCCCCAGCTCACTGCCACCCTTCCTGCTGCAGAGGGAAGATGTCCGGGCCCACCGCCCCCGACGAGGGAACCACCTTCGAGAACCTGTGGAACTCGCTGTGAGTACTTCCTGCCCCCGGCTGGCGGGCTGGGGTGCTGCTGGGCCTGCTCCTGGGGACCCGGCTCTGAAGTCCGAGCGCTTCCTTCTGACCAGCCTTCGGGGGGGTTGGGGCCAGGGGAGGCCCAGGGGACAGAGCCCACTGTGACCCTCCCTCCTCGGTGCTCACACCGGCCCTGGAAGGGCAGCACGGGAGGGGAGGAGGCAGGAGGGGGAGGGGAGGCTGCGGGCATGAGTCCTTGGGACTCACGGGGGGATGGGGGGGAGCAGGAGAATTAGGCCCCACAGCTGGGCCTGGGCAGTCGGGCTGACAGCGCTGCTTCCTGTCCCCAGGCCCCACAGCACCTACTTTGACCTGCCCCAGGCGAGCCAGGGCAGCAGCGAGGGGGTCAGACCCGACAGCACCTACTTTGACCTGCCCCAGGCGAGCCAGGGCGGCAGCGAGGGGGCGTGTGGCGCAGAGGCCGGCATGGACTTCCACCTGCCGGGCATGGCCGCCTCGTCCGTCATGGTGAGTGGGGTTGCCGTCAGCAGAGGACTCGGGGTGGGGGTCGGGGGTGGGCAGTGAGTGTGGACTGTCCTGTCCTGGGAGCCTGCGGACACAGGAAACAGGCTCTCTGGGTGCTCTGTGGGGTTGTCAGGGCATTTCAGGGGCAAAACAGAAAATGTATCAGCTCACATAACCCTCAGGTAGAGATGCCAGGGACAGGTGTGAACTCAGCTATGGCTGGATCAGGGGCAGGTGTGAGTCAGGTATGGCTGGATCAGGGGCAGGTGTGGGCTCAGGTATGGCTGGATCAGGGGCAGGTGTGAACTCAGCTATGGCTGGATCAGGGGCAGGTGTGAACTCAGCTATGGCTGGATCAGGGGCAGGTGTGAACTCAGCTATGGCTGGATCAGGGGCAGGTGTGAACTCAGCTATGGCTGGATCAGGGGCAGGTGTGAACTCAGCTATGGCTGGATCAGGGGCAGGTGTGAACTCAGCTATGGCTGGATCAGGGACAGGCATGGGCTCAAGTATGGCTGGACCCAGGTGTTTAAACAGGTGCCTCTCTTGCCCTGCTTTCCCGACGGTGGCTTTGCTCTCAGGCAGCCGCCTCCTCTCGGGGGAAGTACAGGCTCTACCAGCATCCCCCTCTCCATGGGGAGGACCCCTCTGGGCCCTGAGTCCCGCAGGCCTGCCTCTCATTGGTCTGCACGTGGTCATGTGCCCACCCCCGAGCCACCCCTCTGCCTCTGCTCTACCTGGGCCCCTAGAACCCCC